GTGACCAGCTACAGAAATGAGGACTGTGATTGTTATATTTCTTCATTGTATATGTGCATCAAATATTTTTGTTTCCTTCTGTTATGAACTGTGAAATGTAAATAAGGTTAATGCATTTTGGTTGTATGTGTGTTAGTGTATCATGTTAGGCACAAATATGACTCTCTAATTGTCCTTATTTAGAGATTACATATGGTTAAGAAGATGTATACAACTGCTAAGTTGACAAGGGGTGGACTGTGATAGTTGGAGCTGTGTGTCAACTGGCAGGACCACAATTCTGTGTGGGTTGAGCTGTTGTGGTGTGGTTGTTCCCATGATGGGATCAGATGACTATGTTCTGAGTGGCCAATATGTTGAAGGGGAGTTTCCCTAGGGGTGTGGCCTGCTTCCAGTATATCCAGGACATCATGGGAAGAGAGACATTCTTCTGTGGATTGGGATTCTGTTGTGCTCCGTGAGTGAATAGTCCACCATTCAGCCTGGAGATCTTAGATTTATCATTCATTGGAGTCAACAGCCGGTGTACTGCTTGCCAGCCTTGAGCTCCTCAGCCCCTGTGGTTGCAAGAGCCAGGAAAAGCCTCCAGCTTGACGTTGATCCAGGAACTTTGGACTTGCCAGCTGTAAGTGTGTGAGTCATCTTCCCAAGGTAAATTTCTCTCTCTGTATACATATATATAAGCTTTACTGGTTTTTGTTTCTCTAGAGAACCCAGTCTAACACAACTGGAAAATCAAAAAGTTTGTTGTGACTCACTTTAGTTCGGTATTTGCTTTATTCGATAGTCTGGAACTGAACCCTCAATATCTCCCAGGTATGCCTATAGCTACTTTGGAAGTTCATTCCACACGATCACTTCCATTTTGTATCAATCATTTTGTATCAGTTCCATTTTGAGTGTGAATTTCATTTTGTTCGGAATACATTTATAGGGATTCATAGATCCCAGCTGAGCCAAGGAATTTTTTTCTTATAGTTTTTGGCTCTAGTCTTCAGCCTCACATTGTGCCCCATTGTTTAAATTGTATCAACACAGATAAACCAGAAAGGCCGAGTTGTGAACGGAGATCTGGACATTTGAAGAGTGGAGCTATGTTCCTTCAGCTACAGCAAGTGCTCCAGTGCTGATGGTCTATGAAATTCTCTTACTGCTCAGTTCAGAGAACGATATGTTAGCTGGCAACAAAAACTATCTTAAATATGTAACAGCAAGAGGCCAACTGTAGTATGACCTACCTGGAAGAGCACATAAACCAAGAAACTGGGAACAATTCACTCGTGACAGGGGTAGCCTGAAAAGGAAAATTACATTTAGTTTAGTTTTAGAAAAATTATAAATGGAAATTCAATGTAAAAAACATGTGCGCCTGCCACCGAACTAGGCTGTGTTAAATTAAACTTTTACAGTAGTTTTGGTTATCTAGTGTGACTCTGACAGGAGTATACCACAAATGGGATGGCTTTAACAAACAGGAGTTTATTCTCTTACAGTTTGGAGTCTTTGAGTCTGAGTTCAAAGTGCCAGGCTCTAGGGCCTGGGTGAAAGCCCCTCAACCTTGGGGTTCAGCTCTGCCTCCTGCTCCTGGCCCACTGAAGCTGGAGGCTTTTCTTCACTCAGAAAGCTGCTGGGTACTGTGGCTGACAAACCCAAGGTCAACAAGTGAAAAGGCACAGTCCCAATGTTACCAAACAACATGGCAGGCCATTGATTCAAGTCCATTGAAAGTCCCAAGGTCATCAGAGCACGGCAGGCTGCTGAATGACTTGGCTACATGCAGGGCTCAAGAGTGCCAAAAGCTAGAGACCATCCCCAAAGCTGCTTCTTATGTACAGGAAGCAGACTACATCCTTAAAGCAGCTACTCAGCTGCTTTTGATAGACCCCACCAAGCAGCTGATTGCCAGTCTCATCATGGGGGATAACTACCACCAGCTGCCCAGCCATTCAACCAGGCCCAGCCAAGTTGACACACAACCTTAACTACCACCATTTTAGAAAAGTTACAAATGGAAATTCAATGTAGCCAACATGTGTGCCTGCCACCAAACTAGCGTGTTAAATTAAACTTTTATAGTACTCACAAAGCAAAAATTCCCAGATAAAGATCAATATGTCAGTCAAATTGTTGGTAGCTGTCATCAAGCTGATGTTGACTCATGGTGATCCCATGTGTGCAGAGTAGAACTGCTCCACTGGGGGTTCAAGGCTGTGTCAGTCATAACAAGCCCCAAAACAACAAAAAGTTTGAAAACATGGATTTATCATTTGCTTTGTTATAGTTTAAGTCTTAAAAATGGCCAGTTGATTTAAATCTATCTTAAAGATAATAATATGTAGTTCACCCACAGCTTATATAAAATGCACTCAATATCACTGGCATTAAGTTAACAAGTATTTTGCATTAGTAACCTTAGGTAAATAAGCTGGAAAATGGCAATCTGACAATTTCATCCCCAACATCCATTCTATATTACCATTTTAAGAGTTCTTTGTAGGACTTCCTTAAACAGATATAATTGCATTGGATAAAAACCACAGGTCACCATTTATTGTTGTACTGTATCATGGTTAAAACGAAACACATTTCAAGAAATCATATTCCCAGTTTGAAGTTCTCAAGGATGAAGAGGGCAGTAAGATAGAAAATGAACCTAGAGGAAAATGGTAGGCAGTGCATAAATACCACGTGGCTTCCTCTTGCTAAAGGAGCTCTGGTAGCAGTGCCTAAGACATCTGACTGCTAACCAGAAGGTTGGTGGTTCAAACCCACCAGCTACTCTGTGGTAGCAGGACTGGGCAACCTACTTCTGTAAAGATTTACCACCTCAGAAACCCAATGGGGGTCTCTATGAGTCAGAATCAACTTGATGGCAGTGGGTTTGTTTTTTTTGGTTTTCCTCTTGCTAGGTTTTTTGGCTGTGTTGTTTTGGTAAATGGTTTGAAAATTAGATGAGTTTTTTTGAAATGGTTTTGATATTTGAAAGGCGATGAGAAGAGGAAATGAAAGGTAATTGCTGTTTGATGGCAGAACAAAAGAACTATGCTTAGTACTCAAGGTACTTAGTCCTCATTTGCTCTTCCTATACCAGGGAATGGGTGCTTTCTTAAGGAGGGAGATTGTTGTATTTACAGGGATGAGAGAGCGCATTGGATAATTGGTTGCTGAGAACTTGGTGTAATCCTAAATCCCATGCCAAAATTTGGAAGTACATTTTATGTAGAAACCTTTTTTATATTTTGTTATTGTATCTATGGTAGTATGGCTTTTAAAGAGGGTGTGTTGCAGATGCATTTCTTAATGGCAAGTAGTTCTAAGATTATCTAGGATTTGACTTAATGAAAATGATTATCTTATCCTTCTGTTTGGTATACTATTCTTTTGTGTAAAAGAATAAGCAGATCTGAGGACTAAATGGGAGATCATTCTAATCCTGCCTCTGCTATTTCCTTACTTGCTTCTACTATGGTTTTCTCGGAGCTCTGGTAGCATAGAGGCTAAGACACTTGCCTGCTAACCAGATGGCTGGTGGTTCAAACCC